CATCTCCCTGAATACAAAGCACTGAGTGTTAAATTCAGCTGGGCTGGAAACGATGACATATGCTTCAGTTTTGATTTTTGGCTTGCAGGGTTTCCGTCACTGCCCACATCAAACATTGCATTCTATCTTTCCACTTCATTTTTATTAATGCCAGTATCAAAATAATTACTATATATATATATATCTGTAGTATTACAGGGGGAAATTTCAAAAGGATCTTTTTTCTTTAACTCAGTTCTGCGGACCCAGTGCAAAGTAGTAGGCTTACTTAGATTCCTAGATACTTGAAATTGCCTGATGCATTATGCCATATATGCCTTCTTTAATTGTTCTTGATCTAGCCATGGAATAAATCTTCTTCCCACCCCCCAAGAAGTGCACAGCATCTGAAAAAGAAATATTACAGATAACTGTAAAGATCCCTATAGGAACTGCACAAAATCCCCATATGTCAATAAGGGAAAGTGTTTCTTCAAGATGATGGTTTCTAAAGTAGAAGAAAAAAAAAGCTACATTGCTGTTCGAATTTACTGAGCATGTTGGCAGGACACAAGGACCTAGACTGAGCCTGGCCCTAGATGAAAATTAGACATGACACAGAACAGCAGACCACATTAAGGAAAGTGTTTATCAACATTATTTGTACGGAGGTGATGAACCAGCATGAATTTCCATAGGGCCTGAGATTTCTCTGATTTCTGATCTTTTTTTCTTTCCTGAGGAAAAAGCTTACTGGCAAATCTGCATACCTTTAAAAAAAAAAAAAAAAGGTGGAGGAAAGGCTCTTTATTGCTCTCTCTCATGCGATCAAACCTAATTTCCTTCTCAATTTGCTGAGCCACTATCTCCGGTAATTGCAATTGGAGTGTCAAAACTGTTGGCATCTTGAAATAATGGGATACTACCCAGTATCAATCTCATTTCACATTTCTGACAGAAAGCATGATTTTCCTTTGTCTGTCTCATTTGCAGTAACAAACTGCATGATTTCCATTTTCACTAATAATTTCGATACACACTGTTGGATGACCAACATTTCAGATCTATTCCTTCATTCTTATATTGACATAAATGTTCTTTTGTATCTGAAAAAGTATTTAAGGCCTCCACTCCAACATTTTAATTTTACTTGTAAAGCAGAAGAACAGAAAAGAGTTTATTTCCTTAACCTGGATCAATATACAAAATAATTGCTGAAAGCTAGAGAAGGCGTCTTATGTTGGATACAATGCTAATGAGAGTACAGTTGAAAAGAACAAATTATTTTATTTTCCTCCTAATACTTGTCTCTTGTAGCTGATGAATCCTACCATGACTCTAGATATCTCAGATTTTTTTTCTTTGTGCTTAAAATTAAATGTCTTTTTCATCTTTTTACACAACTTTGGACATCCATTTTGGAGATATTTCCTTTTTTTCCACACACGAAATGTTTGGCCTCCTCTTCAAAAACACGCTACAATATTTGGTGTTTCCTATTTAAACCTCCATCTTTAAAAAAGGAAAGTTTTGAGTAGAAGACATTAGGTCACATCAATCTATGTAACTTTCAGAAGGAATATTCTTTGAAGTAAGTTATGACTGATTTATCCAGGAAGAAAATTCCAGAGAAAGGTTTTGGCTTAAAATTTAACGCCACCTTTAGTTTTTCTCTGTAAAGCCACGCCCCTTCCCCATGGCTCTGCTCCCTTCCAGGCCTCCAACTATCCTGAGGACCCTCCCATGGGCTTCAAGTTTATCAATATTTTGTACTGGGAGTCCAAAACTGAACTCAGTACTGCAAATGTGGGTTAAAAGGTGCCAAGTAAGGGGAAATATTTGCATTCCATGGTCTATTGCTTTCCTGACTATGTGATCTAGACTATTTTTGTCTATCAGAGAACACCATCTCCTTCATTTAGCAGAGACCTTCATCCTGTTTCCACACTTTGTCTTTAGAGTAATCTATATATTCAACGTTGCTATTCATCCCAATTTCACCAAAGGGAAAACAAACAAAAAAACAAACCCCCACAGAAGAACACCAAAATCTCATGCTTTCAGCCTTGTGCATAACGCACACCTCAGTGTGAGGTGAGGCTATCTGGGCTGCAGGTATGAGCAGTAATTTATGCTGATAGACTCAGCCACCGTTTGAAGCTGTTTTTTTTCCACAGATATCTGCATGTTTGCCTCTGACTAATGACAGACAGTTTATAACCTAAAGAAGCAGATCACTGATACATGCAATTTTTAAAACCTGAGTGGAATTTCAGATTGCTTTTCACCCACTTTTTTTTTGCAAAGTGTGGGGAATGTGGCATTAATTAAGAATACATTTCGCTATTTCCATTTGCATAAAATGCAATCAGATATTCATATTTGATAGCAATTTCTATTTTGACAGAGCAAATTTCAGTGAGCATAACATTGTCTACAACTGGGGAAAAAAATGCTTGAATGACCTATGAGATCCTTTTGTTAGGAAGATGACTTTCTTCCCAAAATAAATCTGTTCCTGCTATACCATGTTATTCCTCTCTACAGTAACTGTCACAGTATTCTCTTAAAATTACCTTTTGGAAGATTTACAGACGACCATCTCCCAGCTCCTTACTGAGCCAAAATATGTGTGTGTGAATTAGAATCACCTAATCAGGTTGTAACTATGACTTAGATGACCCCTGCCTGCGCTTCTTACCGATGCTGTTGCTTCTGTAGCATGGTATACAGAAAAGGTTGAGCAAAATTCAGACCCAGATGCACTCTTTGAATATTCATGTAGTAGTTTATACACTGGAGTTCAATCTGATACACCTTGCAAGTGGAAAATGATCAGCAATGTTTAGAGAAGTTGTTTGCATCCCCGCATTTAAAAATAAAGCAAGCCCAGACTACCCCACTACTTACTGCCTAAGTCCTTCCTGAGTAAAGTTTTGGCACCTGTCTTCTTCCCTCTCTGAGCAGAAAACAGTGCTGAAGAGGAATAACTATGCCGTATTTCCCATTACCAGCAATAATAATAATAAAAAAAAAGGCACAAATAAAAAAACAACCAACCAAAAACAAAACAAAACAAAAACTTTCCCCAAATGCTGGGTGTCAGAGAATTTAATGAGACTCACACACATCCAGTTTTCCTTTTTCTATCTTGCCAGCAAATTTCTACAGCCTACGATCCACTACCTCTACTGAACACAGCTAGCATACTATGAACACGGAACAGCACTGTTAGGAAGAAAAACTACACAATATTTATGTATACTGAGTTGTGCCTGAAGAGCCACTGCACAAGTTCATGGTCTTTCTCAGTCCTTACTAAGGAAATAGAAGCTTTCCCATACTGCTTACAGTACAGGATAGGTTATGTCGAGCTTAGTAACAAATCAATACAGAGATAGGTAAAAACAAGCAACTGCAGCAACTGCTTTATATATCAATATCTATCTATATAATATCTATCTATAGATAAAGAGTAGTCTGTATCAACATAATAAGTGTCAATAGCATCCATAGATAGTTAAAGGGCAGTGAGCACACAGAATCATGGAACAATGGAGGTTGGAAGGCATCTCTGAAGGTCATGCTCAGAACAAGAATAGCTTGCAAAGTGCCATGTTCAGACTGGTTTTGAGTATCTTCAAGGATGGGGACACTACACTCTCCCAGGGCTTTCCTTATGATGTTTGACCACTGTCCTGGGGAAAAATAATAATTACCCTAATATCTAATCACAATTGTTCTTAAGTATAATATGTGACCACTGCAATAGAATGTGCCACCGGTCCTTTTGCTGCATGACTCCAAGAAAAGTCTGGCTTCATCTACTCTGCAACCTCCAATTAGGCAGTTGTAGGCAGCAGTAAGACCTCTCCAGCCCTTCTCTCCAGGCTGAACAAACCCAGCTTTCTCAGCCTCTCCTCATACGCCCTGCAGAATTAAGATTGCTACAGTGTTCTTTGGGTCAGAGACCGTGCATTAAAAAGAAGCATTCATGTACACAAGCAATTGTAATACACCTCTGATTTGGTTCTTCCTCCCCCTATACACACAGAGATTTCACTGCACGTGATGCAGCAGGATGAAATTACAGGAGAGACCTAGAACCAAACAGTGAAGATGTACAAATCTTCCAAGTCTCATTGCTTTTGCAACATAGGACCTCAGGGAAAATACTCTTTCTCTGTGCTCAGGTCTCCATCTGTAGAATTATGATATGAGGCTCTTCTCTCATAGATTTCAATTATGAAATTCACTGTTTTGAAATTATTTCTAGTCTGTGGTTTTACAATGCCTATTAGAACACAGTAACTAGAATAACAATTACTTAAGGCAAACAATGCAAAGAAGAGAATTAGACCCACAGTGCCAGTGATTCTGTAAAGTTTTAACTAGAAACTACAGTGTGCTGGTAACTGTTTTGATTGGATGGCATGCTTATGTTCCTTTTGATAAATCTTTGCTGCAAGAAACATGTCATTTTTTTCCCTATATATCCACTGCCATTTATGCATTTTTTATGGAACGTCTTTTCTCAAAAAGCACAGATTTATCTGCCATTCTATGTGACAATTTTTTCTGTGTGCAAAATAAAACTGTGTAACTTTGAAATTCCCCTTGCAAGATAACTTTTATTCTTAACTTAACGGAATAAGACACAATTAGGAAAGCAAATCCCACTGCATAGCAACTTCTATGTTGCTTTAAAACATCTAGATATTTAAAAAATACTTTTGGTGAGAATTTTTTATCTTCTGTGGAATAATTTCAAGTGTATCTTTTCTGATGGCACCAGTTTCGTTTTGATGACCAATCTTGTAAATAAATTTAAAAAGCATCTTTTTAAAAATTACTCACCTTTTTAATTGGAGAAAGGGAGAACTGTACCCAAAAAGAATGAAAACTTAAAATTCCAAAACAGATGTTCAACAGCAGTATCAGGTAAGTGTAGTCATATTTCTCTGCCATCATCTCAAATCAATAGTCTTGCAAAGACATCAGAGGACAACAGACCTACCTACCTTTCAGACCAAGGATGTTAGTATTTGGCATTCTTCAGCCCTGCTGTAATGTGTGTGGCTCTTGACAGTTCACCTGATGTTTGCGTTCCTTAGTTTCCTCACCTATAAAAGAAATACACAAAAAATTTGCTCAATTTAAACTAGTACAATTAAACTAGTTAAACCAGAAAACAGTTAACTACAGTTCAGCAAAACAGTGCAAGAGCAACAGTTACACAAAAGCAACATGTAAACAAGGTGCTTATGATTCTATTCATTTAGGTTTATCACTGAGGAAAGAAATGAGGGAAGAATTTATCTAACAATATATACAGCTAGCTTTCAAAATGGTTACTAACTGTAAATTTAATAATTATCATAGCAGATATACTACACAGAACTAGATCTTCATGTCTTAAAATGAAAATGATTATTTTTTGTTGTTGTCTTTTTTTTCATCTGAAGAATTTTTCCCCTCACTGTAGAGGAAGATGACTTATGAGGACTTACTATGTAAAGAGTGTTTCACAACAGAATTAATCTTAGGAGCATGAGAAATTCATCAATATATTCTCTTTCATCCCCAAACTCTGAGTGATGCCTGATTTGAGGGGAGAAAACAAACCTACAGAATTAGGGGAAAACATTCTACTGAGCTTCTGGAGTAACAACTGCTTAATGTCCAGCAGTGTGCCAAATGCATCTGCTGCTGTTGTACTCAAACTTCATTGTCTGAGCACAACACCCTATGCTAGAAATACAATTTTAGTATGCCTATATAAAATAAAACCTATTTTAATTATGCATGCAAATGTGCAACTATTAAAAATGATGTATAACCCCAACTTTAGGACTGAGTGGTAACTAACATGAAAATACATTTCAAAGAGCTCTGTGGATAACTGGCCAAAAAAGGATTATCTCACTGTTCATCAGCTGCTGGATAGAGAAGTCAATGGATTTAGAGCCAATGTGCTTAATGAGAGAGTTATGCCTTCACAGGGTCTTTGTCTTGAATCTCATTGAATGAATGGTGGGGATGCATTTTGTACTGTAACAGACTGAAATGTTCTCTTCTGCTTTCCCTTCTTTCTTGCATGACAGCACCATCTGTTTACAAATACATCACTGGAATGACAGTGCTCTGATGATGTACTAATATAATACATCATCAAAGTGCCATCAGTGATGATCTAATGATGTATTAGAATGCTGTTTATCAAAACCCTGTTGCTTTGATGATGTATAGGTGCAATACATCACAGAAATGTCTTGCACTGGTGGCACTGTACTGATAGAGACCTTGTGGGGAAAAATGGGTCCCGTTAGGACGCAGCAAGAGAATGAAATGCAGACAGATTAAAAGAAAAAAAATGAAAATGAAGGAAATAAACAGTCAAATGTTTAAATGAATTATATTAAGAGGAAGTTTCAAAGGTGAGGAGAAAAGGACATTGATTTCAGAAAACCAAGTTTCTAATGAAATTGGATTCATCATGGAGAGATAGAAATTTGATCTCATTATGAGTGCAACAGAATGAAAAAGAATGCCAAAAAGGACCTAGTTTGTACGTAATAACTGTTTCACAGATCTAAATTCCCTATTCTCTTTCATCCTTTCCTTTAATTTATTTCTGCAAGTAGGCTCTAAAAATAAACAAGTGGTTTAAGGCTATGAAGTAGAATAACAGTAATTTATCAAGAATGCCCCACACAATTCCCAAAGCTAGTTTTGGGATACCTCATTTAAAAGACTGTACTTTTTTTTTTTTTTTTTTTTTTAAGCAGGTCCTGTGCTTTTAACTGCTACCCATTTCATTGTTCACATGACCCGCAGGCATTACCCCAGAGTTTTGCACTCAGCAAAAACAAGCTGAGATCACAAGTCTGTGATATATGTATATACTGGTTGGGATGGAGTTAATTTTCTTTATAGTGCTTTGTTTTGCTTTTGTGACCACAACAGTTCTGATAACACAGCAACCAATAAAACAAGAGTCGAAGATGGTATCATAAACTTTTGGTCAAAGCTAATTTGCCCTTCCTATCAGCTTATGGGGCATGGAATCTCTCTGTGGTTGGTTTGGGTCAGCTTTCCTGGCTGTGTCCCCTTCCATCCTCTTGTTCACTCCTATCCTGCCCACTGGGGGCAGACAGAATGAGAAACAGAGAAAACCTTGGCACTGTTTAATCACCATTCAGCAATGGCTAAAATTTTGGTGTATTACCAACACTGCTTTGGTCACAAATCCAAAACATGGCACCATACTGGCTGCCATCCCAGCTGGACCCAGAACATATATTTCCACGATAGCATTTAGCATGCATAAGATGCTGCAACACTGAACAGATGTATTAACACTATACAGAGAAATCTAATAGAATCAATAAAATAATCTTCCTTAAAGGCAACAGATTATCCCAACTTTATTTTGTTGATTGAACTCTGAAGCAAAATGATCTTTGCCATTTCTAGAGCACTTTGATAAAAGTTTCATTTGAAATCACAAGAAACAGGTTAAGGACATGGCAGTCTACCTGCAAAATTGGTGCAGTGTGAGCAAAGCGGAATTCTTAAAGAAACATACAACAAAAATACTTCCATAATAATTTGGGACTTGTACTTAAGTCCAAGTAAGTGCTCACCCAGTGGAGTTGACAAACTAAATGATAAAACTAATATTTAGCATTGCATACGTGAATGGAACTGAGTAAACATTGACACAGAAATTAGGCTTTTAACTAAAAAAGTGCATCTTAAGAAGACTACATAACCCTGTGACAAAGGCATTGACTAGTAATCAGCCTACAGCTCCTAGGTCTAGCACAAATTCCTGCTGTGACCTTGAGTTAAAGCTGTTTGATTTCTGCGTGCTTCCCTCTCCTTTCCATGATCACCCTTTCCCTCCCACTTCCCTATGTTCCTCCTGCATTCAGCACAGGGGCTGCAGTAATAGTTTATGTGTGTCCAAGCACAGCGAGGCCCAAACTTGCACAAGATTCCTGTGCTGAATATAAATAATCACAGAATAACAGGTTTGGGATTTTATCAATCAATCTATATAACAAAAGTTTTCCTTATTTATTTATTTATTTTTATTTTTATTTTTTAAAGACTGAATGGATTCTGCTTGATTTTGAACAGGCTTCCTTAAAAAACAAACAAACAAAAAAAACAACCCAGAAAGAGCTCTTTAATGCTGCCAGAGAAACAAGGAAGGCTGAAGCATGAAGAATCTAACAGCTGTTCCAGCTGAGAGTTCCCACACCTTTGCTCTTAAACATTAAGATTCCTTGATTTTTTTTTAATTATTATTATTTTCTAATAAAGGATATTTTTCTTGCAGATAGGCAGAAGACTGCTGAGTTTGTTTTGCTGGCACAAAGTAAGTGTCATAAATTTTCAAGAGCCATCATAGTAACAAGCTCATTTTATTTCTGTCGACCTTGTTGTTATTCATTTTAGAGGCTCTTTACAGATTCACAAAGTATTTTTCAAACAATGCAAAAAAGTCTCCCTATATGACCTCCGGGGAAAAATGACCAAGAAATGCTAACTTGGTAGCCCCTTCTGGTAAATCCAGACCACATCACTCCAATGACAAGGCTTGTTGGTACAGAAAACAAGCACACTACTTCTACAGAAGAGCCAGCTGCCATTCCTGCTCCAGTTCTGGGATTCTCCAAAGCTTAAGACCAACTCCAATGAGCAAATGGAATTATTTTGGTAAGTCTAGGCTTCCAACTATGAATATACATATTGAATTATGAGCATAATTCAATGCTCATATTTGTGTACAAATATACAAACTGTCTATGTACACAAATCCCACAGAGCATTATATTTTCAGTATGTTCCTAGAAAAAGAGCACATATGGTGAAAATTAAAAAGCCAGTCTAAGTTTTGAAAGTGATTAACTACTCTAGTTATTACTATTCCTGATCCAGAGGTCAACAGACTTGCAAGTCTTCAAGGGACACACTAAAGGTACACAACTGTCAGAAATAAGTTTGGTAAGCATACTAACACCCTTTTGTATTTTCACAAAACAACCTTATTCCACATTAAAAGTCAAAGAAAATATGCAACAGATCTTGTCGTTCTCTGTTCACAAACTGTCTTGCAAAAGAGCCTTTCCTGACTTTGTAACTCAAAATTACGTGTTCTTTCTTTCAACAAATTATTCTCTCTCCATAGACTGTTCAGTTATAAAATGCAAATAAATTACGTAATCCCCTCTTCAATTTATTTGAGTAGAATATATTACTTAGTATGTGCATATTTGAAGTTACTTGCATGACAGCAAGGTGCATAGATCATTCAATCAGGAAAAAGAAGAACAAAAATGTCATGTCTTACTATCCAACATACATTTTATGACCGAGTACACAATGCTAACTTACTCCCAGGTCATTCTGTATTGGTGAAGATTTATTGCTTCAGGCTCAAGTTTCCAACAGTGACTGCTTTTAAGCACTTAAAAGAGCCTGATTTTCAGAGACAAAGTCAGTTCCCTTACAGACCTTGGGACCTGATGATTTTGACATCAAAACCAAAACATTGAATATGAAAGCTGAGGTCTTGCTGCTCACAGGCAATGAATACAAAGAGATCTTGAACTCTAGAAAGCTGAAAGGTAAGTATTCACACTCATATGTAGAAATTCAGCCACCAAAATACTTAACACGTTTAATCTAGTCTACTTCCAACAGACAGAAGCATCACTGACAGACAAACCCTTAGTGATCAGGACACTAGGCAGATATATCTTCTATTAATGCAGATGATTAAATGGAAAATAGCAGGCAAACTTTGAAGTTCAGTTTCCTCATAAAGTTTGAAGCTTATTACATAGATACCATCTGAAATGTAAATTCTGCCATTGTACAGGTTGCAGTGTTGTACTTGCTAACCTGGCTGCAATACTAGAAGTTAGGTGGACAGTCCAGTACTAGTGAAGTTTGATGGCAGAAAGAATTTTATTTATTTTTCCCTCTTCATTATGCCCATGAAAAAAAAATTTCCAAAGACGGACAGTACTATTTGTTTCTGTTTCACTTAGAAGTGGCAGTTGCAGATGTTGGGGCCATCACCATTTGTACAAATACTCTCACTTCTTTG